GATGGTCTCGATCTCCTGACCTTGTGATCCGCCCGTCTCGGCCTCCCAAAGTGCTGGGATTACAGGCTTGAGCCACCGCGCCCGGCCCCAAATTTTTTTAAATGAAAGAAATAGATATGGTTTCTCTATAGGAAATGGGCTGGAGGTCAGGAGATCAGGAGGGGACAAGGAATGAAGGGGCCTGTGCGGGGGAGAAGCAGTGGGAACAGGAAAGACACATACCTGGGAGATGTTTGGAGGTTGAACCCACAGGATTTGGAGATGCTTTGAAGCAGGGTTGGTGGGAGACAGTAAGGAGGTATCAGCGGTGACACTTAGGGTCGACTCTGGAGTCAGGCCCTGAGTTTCCCTGCCTCTGCCTCGTTTCCATTCTGCCCACTGCCAGCATCTAGCTAACTTAGATTATAGCCTCTGACCCCAAATTATTCCTATTCTCAGGTCTGTGTCACTGATATTGGCAGATCCTAAGACAAGACTTCACTAGTGTGTGCTATTTCCCCTGCAAGGGGGAGAGCACAGAGATGGCTTTGGGTGAGGTTATGGGGAGGATAGACCACCTTGTTGGCTAACACTTGTTTACCTCTGGGGCATGAGTGTTCATGTGAGCCACCATGCCTGGCCTATTCCTCTTTTAACAAAATCTAGTAGGACATGGTGGCTCATGCCTTTAATCCCAGTAATTTGGGAGTCGAGGTAAGAGGATCTCTTGAGGCCAGAGGTTTGAGACCAGTCTAGGCGACATAGTGAGAACTCTCTCTAAGAAAAAAAAAAGGTGGTGCATGCCTGTGGTCCTAGGTACTTAGGAGGCTGAGGTGGGAGGTTCGCCTGAGCCCAGGAGTTTAAGGTTGCAGTGAGTTATGATTGCACCACTGCTCCCTAGCCTGGGCAACAGAGTGAGACCTCATCTCTAACAAAACAAAAACAAAAGCCAATGCATCCTCCTGCCTAAAGCTCTTCTGTGGCTTCTCATTGCAGAAATCTACCAAATTTCTTTCTTTGGCTTTCAACTCCTGGAGAGTCTGCTCCCACCAGCCTCTCCAGTCTCAGCAAATAGAACTAACCTTCCTGTCCTCCAAAATCTGGCCACATCAGTGATGCTACGTCCCACCACAGGGCCTTGGTGCAACCTCAGCCTCCAACTGGTAGGGCTGTTGAGGCAAGGCCAGGATAGGAAATCTTACTACAAGGAAGGAGTAGGTGGGTGAGCAGCTTTTCCCTCTACT